GGACATTAGGTTACACACTGGGCACATTAAGTTCACACTTGGGACATTAGGTTCACACTGGGACATTAGGTTCACACTTGGGACATTAGGTTCACACTGGGCACATTAGGTTCACACTTGGGACATTAGGTTCACACTGGGCACATTAAGTTCACACTTGAGACATTAGGTTCACACTTGGGACATTAGGTTCACACTGGGGACATTAACTTCACACTTGGGACATTAGGTTCACACTGGGCACATTAGGTTCACACTTGGGACATTAGGTTCACACTGGGCACGTTAGGTTCACACTTGGGACATTAGGTTCGCACTGGGCACGTTAGGTTCACACTTGGAACATTAGGTTCCCCACTGGGCACATTAGGTTCACACTGGGGCCATTAACTTCACACTTGGGACATTAGGTTCACACTGGGCACGTTAGGTTCACACTTGGGACATTAGGTTCGCACTGGGAACATTAGGTTCACACTTGGGACATTAGGTTCACACTGGGCACATTAGGTTCACACTGGGCACGTTTCTTTCGATTCCTGAAACCTTGTTTTTTTTTATTAATGTTCGTGTACAATTTAATTTACCTTCGCTAACGTGATATAATCTGGAAGTGTTCTAAATAACAATAGTTAACGCTCTACACAGGATAAGTAATAGGTTGAAGTAGGGGCTGATCGTTATCAAAGGTTGTCACGTGATCTTACCATGCTTCTCTCGGAAAAGTAATGTTCACGAGATTTATCTTTAAAAATACGTGCTGCAAAAAAGAAAAAAGAAAAATCTATCACTAACATGTTGTGTACCAACAATTGGAAAATATCTGAAGTAACGGTACTTTTAAAAATCTGACTTTGATATCTGGCAGAATTATGCTCGTGTTTTGTTTTTTTCTTGATAAAGATTTTTTAAGTGGCATATCACGTATAAGATTACAGATTGTTAAGTTAATTAAAAAGAAATAAAGACTCCGCCGATTGAAATTCGTGTTCTGTTCTTTCGCGTACACTTTCACAATTGTAAAATGTTGAATAAGAAGTCTAAAGACTTGCACATTTCGAACGAATATGTTATCACGAGCCTTGTGGTGACAGGAACTTGTACGATATAACGAATTATCGTTTTCAATATGAATGGTGCCCTATGCGGTAAATGGGCCAAAAATGAAAAAAAAAAAGGGGCAAGCTGTCCTTAATTTAGAACTGAGGACAAAATGGAGTGCAGCTAGTCAACAGTAGTCTAGACTGTTGACTTTATTAAACAAATAAATAGAATGACTGTCATCTTTATAATATCCCACTTGAAAATGCGGAGTGTGTTCTATGGCATATTTTCGGGATCGAACCGTGGTCCTTCCAATGCGCAGACGGGCACGCTAATCGCTAGGCCATGCTCGACGAATGAACTCAGTGGTAAATGAAGTTACACATACAAATATAGAATATATTTACACGTAACAAGGGTGTATGGTATAGAGTATATTTACACGTAACGAGGATGTATAGTATAGAGTATATTTACACGTAACAAGGGTGTATGGTATAGAGTATATTTACACGTAACAAGAATGTTTGGTATAGAGTATATTTACACGTAACGAGGATGTATAGTATAGAGTATATTTACACGTAACAAGGGTGTATGGTATAGAGTATATTTACACGTAACAATAATGTTTGGTATAGAGTATATTTACACGTAACGAGGATGTATGGTATAGAGTATATTTACACGTAACAAGGGTGTATGGTATAGAGTATATTTACACGTAACGAGAATGTGTGTAAACTTTCCTCTATCTCGACATATATTTCTGTCTTACTGAGGAACTCGTTCAATTCGTATTTAACAAATTCGATGATTAATAAAAATCTATCAGAAGAAAGATCAGGATGTAACATGTTTTTAGTAGACTATACCAAGAAAGATCATGATGTAACATGTTTTTAGTAGACTATACCAAGAAAGATCATGATGTAACATGTTTTAGTAGACTATATCAAGAAAGATCATGATGTAACATGTTTTAGTAGACTATATCAAGAGAGATCACTATGTAACATGTTTTTAGTAGACTATATCAAGAAAGATCACGATGTAACATGTTTTTAGTAGACTATACCAAGAAAGATCACGATGTAAAATGTTTTAGTAGACTATATCAAGAAATATCATGACGTAACATATTTTTAGTAGACTATATTAAGAAAGATCATGATGTAACATGTTTTTAGTAGACTATATTAAGAAAGATCATGATGTAACATATTTTTAGTAGACTATATCAAGAAAGCTCACGATGTAACATGTTTTAGTAGACTATATCAAGAAAGATCATGATGTAACATGTTTTAGTACACTATATCAAGAAAGATCACGATGTAACATGTTTTTAGTACACTATATTATAAAAGATCATGATGTAACATGTTTTTAGTAGACTATATTAAGAAAGCTCACGATGTAACATGTTTTTAGTAGACTATATTAAGAAAGATCATGATGTAACATGTTTTAGTATACTATATCAAGAAAGATCATGATGTAACATGTTTTAGTACACTATATCAAGAAAGATCATGATGTAACATGTTTTAGTATACTATATCAAGAGAGATCACTATATAACATGTTTTTAGTAGACTATTCCAAGAAAGATCACGATGTAACATGTTTTTAGTAGACTATATCAAGAAAGATCACGATGTAACATGTTTTTAGTAGACTATACCAAGAAAGATCACGATGTAACATGTTTTAGTTGACTATATCAAGAAATATCATGATGTAACAGTTTTTAGTAGACTTTATCAAGAACGATCATGATGTAACATGTTTTAGTAGACTATATCAAGAGAGATCACTATGTAACATATTTTTAGTAGACTATATCAAGAAAGATCACGATGTAACATGTTTTTAGTAAACTATATCAAGAAAGATCACGATGTAACATGTTTTTAGTAGACTATATCAAGAAAGATCACGATGTAACATGTTTTTAGTAAACTATATCAAGAAAGATCACGATGTAACATGTTTTAGTAGACTATATCAAGAAAGATCACTATGTAACATGTTTTAGTAGACTATATCAAGAAAGATCACGATGTAACATGTTTTTAGTATACTATATCAAGAAAGATCACGATGTAACATGTTTATAGTAGACTATATCAAGAAAGATCACGATGTAACATGTTTTAGTAGACTATATCAAGAAAGATCACGATGTAACATGTTTTAGTATACTATATCAAGAAAGATCACGATGTAACATGTTTTAGTAGACTATATCAAGAAAGATCACGATGTAACATGTTTTAGTAGACTATATCAAGAAAGATCATGATTTCTAGTCCATCCAACATAGCTTTCAAAATGCAACAAAAACCAGAGCACTCTAAAACAAAGCTATAATATAACACCACAGATTCAGGATTTATTTAAGTAATACTGTGTAACGTGAAGACAAACCGCGTGCTACAAACTGACGTCGCTATAACAACTTGAGTTAACAAAACTAATACAATTCAATGATACATACATCTATTCCTGTATCTCTCTCTGTCGGTCTGTGTTCTACTCAAAAATAGCTACATTGGTCTTATCTATTTATTAGTGAAAACTACGTATATGTGGTTACCAAGGTAATCAGTGAAATATCTTTAATGAAATTCCCGTTAGGCGTCATTAGAAATGCGTGTTAATAAGGCAGTCGTACTGGCATGCCTACACGCACGTTTGTGGATGTATAATCCTCTGATCTTCATCGAGAGCTCTCTCCCTGCATTTTTCCCTCGGTGCATTTATATATTCATTCGTGTTCAGTGATAAAGGTTATTTAAATCTGTTACAATAAACTACTGATACCTCTTCCTAAACTATATTTTTGGGATATCCTTATTTTGTACTCGATCTAAAACCGAACAAATTAAGGCTGTACGTTACCATTGACGATGGTCCAATGGTGCCGTTCGGGTGTGGGTATGGTGAGACAACGTAACCAATAGGCGTTGAGTGGGAAACTGGCTCAAAACCTTTTCCTGAAAGTAGAGATAAAAAGGTTGAGTTGTATAAAATGATAAATATTTTCTGTGAAACAGTTAAGCCTAATAGTTAAATTCAACCAGAAATTCCAACTGTTTCCAGCTGAACAAAGACAAATAGTATTTTTTTTACCCTGAAGAAGAAATGTGTTAAGTTAATGAATGAGAAATATTAAGTACATGAAATAATATAACACACAGTACAAGCACTTTCACATGGAAAAAAAAGAGAGCTCCGTGGAATATACGCAGCAAAAAAATTGAATTTCACATTAAACACGTGTTAATTATAAATGTTTACTCAACCAGCAACGGAGCTGCCACCATAAAACTGCTCTGCTCATTCTACTCAATTGTTCTTTGTTTAGAAAACGAGCTGTGGATAAAGATTCAACTGTGGAAACCAAATGAAACGTTTGAAGAAATTGTATAGTCTCAACATCCAAAAACGAGTGATATCAGCATCAAAAGGTGACTCATCTCAGTATCAAAAGACGACTCATCTCAGTATCAAAAGACGACTCATCTCAGTATCAAACGACGACTCATCTCAGTATCAAAAGACGACTCATCTCAGTATCAAAAGACGACTCATCTCAGTATCAAACGACGACTCATCTCAGTATCAAAAAGACGACTGATCTCAGCATCTAAAAATAACTCATTTCAGTATCAAAAGACGACTAATCTCAGCATCTAAAAACGACTCATTTCAGTATCAAACGACGACTCATCTCAGTATCAAAAAGACGACTGATCTCAGCATCTAAAAACGACTCATTTCAGTATCAAAAGACGACTCATCTCAGTATCAAAAGACGACTCATTTCAGTAACAAAAGACGACTCATCTCAGTATCAAAAGACGACTCATTTCAG